CTACGGCACGAGAAGTGCAAAAACGCATAATCGCACCGGCCGGCCTGGTGCGTTCCAGCCTGGGTTTATTCTTTTTTGACCTTTTCCATCATCCATTTCTACATTTTCTAACAAAATTTCCACTTAACCTTAAATAGTTTATGAGAATCCATCTGAGCAGAGCAATTGAAATTTCTCTATAGCTAAAATTTGTATGTATTGACAGCTTGAACCTTGAAATTTTCAGCCTGATGGAAAGTATGATATTGTGCCGAACAGTCAGTTTACCGTTACTCGAACAGCATATCGTGATAATTCTTCGAAATACTCATACAATGGACGGACAATGCAATTCAAGGATATCGCTGTCCTGCTACGTGGCGTCGGAATCGATCTCATACATAATCGATTTCTTATCCTGCAGGTATTTTCAAATTTCATTTCAGCACAACTTCATCAGTATCTGATTCGGCCAGGCAAAACTCTTCTTTTGCCCTTGCACTACCACTTTAGTAAAACTTGCACATCCTTATACAACACCGTCGAATTAAAGTTTTAAATTTGCTTGCTTTTTTTCTTGGCTCTTTTTTGTCGATCATGTCTGTTTCTTAAGTAAAAGTGCGGTGAATCGATATGCGTTTTATGAGTGCCAGAAGCAAAATAACAAATATCGGTGAATTACTTACGTACGGCAATACGCAATAGGACAGCCCTGGATTGTGTGTGGGGAGATGCGGCTGCGTGGACGAGCCGGACTCTTAGGTGTGTTCCAGGGGTGAAGGCTAGATAGACCGCGTCGCTGAGAACTGGCGTGCCAGACCGACAAACAAGTACAAGACCGAAACGAAGACAAGAACCCCGACTGAAAGAATGGGATGTTTAAATAAGGAGAATTGAGATCACCCCGGGAGAGAAGGAATGTAAGCCCTTCCGGTAGAATAGGAGATGGCGCCAAACAGGAAGTGTATGAAAAAATTGTTGTCTGATGGGGAATGGGGCCAAAAATAAATAAATGGCAACGCGCACCAGACTAGCCGGTGCGATCATGCGTTTTGTGCAATTCAGCCGATCGAACGATTGCCTGTTAATAGTTCACTGCTTTGTACTTTAGTCTATGCAAAAATAGTTCAAACATTGAAAAATAGTTAAAAATTTCATGCACCAGTTCACTGCTTTGTGCTTTAGTCTATGCAAAAATAGTTCAAACATTGGAAAACAGTTAAAAATTTCAACAGACTAGCCGGTGCGATAATGCGTTTTGTGCAATTCGGCCCATCGAACGATTGCCTATTAATGATTTTCATGCTTTGTACTTTAGTCTATGCAAAAATAGTTCAAACATTGGAAAATAGTTAAAAATTTCACACACCAGTGCTTTGTTCTTTAGTCTATGCAAAAATAGTTCAAACATTGGAAAACAGTTAAAAATTTCACGCACTCTTGTACCTTGTCTATGCAAAAATAGTTCAAACATTGGAAAACAGTTAAAAATTTCACGCACCAGCGTATGAAAGCTAAATAGCAAAATACAAACATTGGAAAACAGTTAAAATGATTTTCACTGCTTTGTACTTTAGTCTATGCAAAAATAGTTCAAACATTGAAAAACAGTTAAAGATTTCACTTCCTTGTACTTTAGTCTATGCAAAAATAGTTCAAACATTGAAAAACAGTTAAAAACTTTTCACTGCTTTGTACTTTAGTCTATGCAAAAATAGTTCAAACATTGAAAAATAGTTAAAAATTTCATGCACCAGTTCACTGCTTTGTGCTTTAGTCTATGCAAAAATAGTTCAAACATTGGAAAACAGTTAAAAATTTCAACAGACTAGCCGGTGCGATAATGCGTTTTGTGCAATTCGGCCCATCGAACGATTGCCTATTAATGATTTTCACTGCTTTGTGCTTGTCTATGCAAAAATAGTTCAAACATTGGAAAACAGTTAAAAATTTCACGCACCAGCGTATGAAAGCTAAATAGCAAAATAGTTCAAACATTGGACGATTGCCTGTTAATGATTTTCACTGCTTTGTACTTTAGTCTATGCAAAAATAGTACAAACATTGGACTGCCTGTTAATGATTTTCACTGCTTTGTACTTTAGTCTACGCAAAAATCGTTCAAACATTGAAAAATAGTTAAAAATTTCACGCATCCTGTTAATGATTTTCACTGCTTCGTACTTCAGTCTATGCAAAAATAGTTCAAACATTGGAAAACATTTAAAAATTTCACGCACCTGCGCATGAAAGCTGAATTCGAAACCTTGAAGGATGAATATCTTTCTGTGATTCCCGAGTTAATAGTTTATTCGCCAAAATTTTCACGAGATCGTAGGTAGTAACCGAGAGCGAAAGAACGCTGAATTTGAATGGGCAGGGTTGAGCGTGGGCAGGGTCATTATTCTTAAATTTCAGCCTTCTAGACTGCGTGGTTCCCGAGATATTAACTTACCCGTGAATAACTTTCACAGAGCCGTACGTGTTACCCGCGGGTAAAGGAAGGCTGAATTTGAATGGGGAAGGTTGAGGGTGGGCAGGGGGGTCATTACCCTAAAACCTCAGCCTCCTAGACTCCGAGGTTCCCGAGATATTAACTTACTCGTGACTTACCCGCAAAAAACTTTCACGGGGCCATGCGTGTTACCCGCGAGTACGGGGAAGCTGAATTTAAATGTTCAGGGTCACACGCGGGTAGGGGG